GCTTCCCCATTTCAATTAACAGCAGTTTCTTCACTACTACCTCCCCTCCTGCCCGCACCCTGAATGCCTGACATTGTACTGAACACAGCGCTGGACACTCTGAAACAGTGTATGAATTCAGGCTTCCCTGGTGTCCCCTGCCACCTGAAGGGCAGGCCTAGACACAAAACAGACACAGACCAGGCTCCATTACTCCTCTCCCTCCCCACCCCGGAGTGCCAGAGCAAGTTTGCACAGTGTCTGGACAGGAAGCCCCCTTTCTACCACTTCTTTCCCTACCACCTCCCACTCCACATGCCTGACATTGGACTGAATGCAGTGCTGGACACTCTGAAATGGTCTGCGAATTCAGTCTTCCCTGATGTCCCTTGCAAGCTGAAGGTTAGGGCTGGCCAAGCCAGCCTTTCAGTCTTCCCTAACACAGCATCACGCTTACTTTCCGCTGATCCCTGGCATCCCACTATCATCCACCCCATCTTTCTCTGTACAGGCTCATCACTGCAAGCATGAAAGGTCGATTTGCCCAGCAGCAAATAATTTTTAGTAGTGTTGAAATTATGGTCTCCCCAGGACAGCCTCTCATTTCCCCAAGTCATGGATGGCTGTTTTAAGCAACAGAAGGGGTGCAGCCTGCCAAGGCTTGCCAGGAAAACAATGCCAGTAAACCATTCAAAAGCTGTCACTCACTGCCTGCCTGTACCCTGGCAGCCACCCACCCCCCGGGCACAGGTGGGGGGTTCCATTCCACAATTTACCCCCAAGCACATGGTATAGTCAACTTCTTGTATTCTCTGCACCCAAAATGGCATTATCCACCCCCTCCCACATTGTAAAAAAGCTGATCACCCTGTGGAAACTGCTTGTACAGGACTTGTGCTGCTTGCATATCTAATGGAAATGTTTTTCCATCAAAGTCAAGTCTAACACGGTGGTATTTTCTCACCTGCAGTGATTAGCCACCATTTTCACCTATCCCCAGTGCAATAGTTTTGTAAGTATGTTTCTGAATGTCAGCGGCTAGACTCTCAAAGAGAAAAACTGCCACAAATGTCTAGACATTGCACAAATCACACATTGTTATTATGCATGTCTTCATAACAGGTTCACAGGTCTTAGGTCTTTGGACATGCACCAGAACAGGTCCTAGCAGGCTGTACTGCAAACATCACTGTCTCATCTGCTCTGCTAGCACACTTACTGTTGGCAATGGAGGGGAACCAAGAAAAAGCAAAATTTTCAAGACATGCTGGGTTCTTCACAAGGCTGGGGACCAAACTGGGCTTATGAAAAAGTTGAGGCACCCATTGATATTTGGGGTGAAAGGAAGGTGCACACAACTCAAAAACCAAAGAAATAAGCCAGTGTACGTGGCTATTATGGAACAATTAATGGAACATGGCTGTCAGGACTGGGAACAGTACTGCAGTAAGATCAAGTCCTTAAATAGTGCCTACCATCATGTTAAGGACAATAACTCTCATTTGGGCACCTCACAGAAAATGATTCCATTCTATGACAAGCTGTCTACCATCCTTAAAAGAGATGTTTCAGAGGTTTGCCTGCCTGAGTTTGGGACAACAGATTTCATGGCTGAGGAGCCTGAAAACATATCCACATCTCCCCACCACCACAGTATGTCAGCAGGCACTTTGGATGATCAGCAGCAGGGGACCAGAAATGACTATTCTGTTCATGATGACAAATATGACTCTGACGGCACCAATATTCTGTCGCAGAAGTCTTCAGGTTCCCAAGAGAGTTCTGTGCTGCAAACCCCACAAGACTCACAAACAGTGACTCGTAAGTTATAGCATTGGTATTAGACATTGGGCTAAAATATTACTGCCTCTCGCATCCTTAGTCTACTGGGGTTGGGGAGATTAGTCCCCTTCACCAAATCCAAGCTACTCCCTGCTGGTGTTTTTCCCGACACAGGTACAGTGCAGTGAGGATGCATTGAGACTGGTCAGAATATTTTGGGGGCAGCATTCATAATATGGTTGGGTGGTAGTGGGGTTTCATTTGTAATTTTTGCAGAGAGTGTGTGCTGTTAAAATATTTTAAAATAGAGTCTTCTTAAAATGTTTAAAAGTAGCAGAACACCTCATGAGAGCTTTCATTTTCTCTTTGCCACAGCTACCCCTACCACTGCAGCTGTGGTTCCTAGATCATCAAGAGCAGTTGGTAATGAGCAGCATCAACAGAATTATGAAACAACTGAAAGAACAACTAAGGAATATATTCTTTAGTTAATGGCAGAAGCATCTGAAAACATATCTATGGCCAGTGAACAAATGGCAGGCGACATTAATGATATATTTAATAGGCTAGTGAGGAGGAAGGAAGCCAATTTCAATTTTATGGAGGGCAGGACTAATCACATCTTAGAAACTATTCAGCATTTCAGTAAGAATGCTAATTGTAGAGGGTGTTTGGAGGCAAGGTGCCCAATTCTTCACCTGCCACAAAGTGCATCTTAACAGAAGGAAAAAAATAAGATTGTATAGGGAAAATAATTCAACTGAATCATTAATGACAATGTAGAAAGTACTTACGAATTCTTAATAGTGTTACTGCTTTTATAAAATAGCTTTTTACAAAAGTATGATAAAAAGTAGTCATTTCACTATTTTCTTTAGTGTGTGTGTGTGTCACTTTGTACTAACCTTTTGAGAGGAAACTTAATAGAAGATTTCTGGTTTTAAGAACAGTTAATTTATATGTAGGAGCGCATACAATGAGTGGATGATTCAGAGAGTTACAAGACAGGCTAAAGATTATAATTTCTGGAAAATATCAACCTCTGCCTTGTGAATGTTTTACTGGTCTAAAAAGGGTTCATTTAGATTTGAAGAGGGTTTGTGCAGAAGAGTTTGTGCAGAGTTAATAAAATAATAAAAGCGATACTGTAATTATTTTCTATTATGTTTAAATATATTTAATATTAGTGTATCTTGTGTATAATTCTATATTTAATAAGTTAGCTGAAATATTTTGTTTCCGGAGTGAGAGTAAGAAAAACATTATAAACTGTTATGCCATGTTTGCCTACCATCATATAATTTCTTTCTAGCCTGGAAAGGATCAATGCACATTAGGGATGGAAAGAACAACTAGGAGTCAAAAAGATTAACGATAATAGGAGAAATTATGGATTTTCCCCTTCTTGTATTTCAGTGACTTTTTAAATATATATATATATTTCTTTTAGCTTGCAAAGGCTTAATAATCCTTAATAATTAGTAAATCCACCCCCCACACCATTATATTCAAAGTCACTGCTATAAAACTGGTCACTCCCTCTTTCTGATATGATTTACTCCTTCTTCCATTGTGTTGGGGTAGAATTTTCCAATTTTTCTACTCTTGGACTGGGATTTGGATACAACTCCTCATCTATGCCACTTTTGTCTCTTCCCTACCCTTCAGAAGCCTGTGATCAATAGCCTTTTCATGCCAAGTATTTTTGACAAACAATGGAGTATTAGAGAAAATGATTTCTAAACTAAATTCCTTGTTTATGGTTTTATCTAACCTTGTATGCCACTGCAGGCTGTTAGGTCAGCTTTTCAAGCTACAGATAAAGAACAGGCCCAATTTATTCTTTCAAGAAGCTAACCATTCTTCGGGAGCCAACCTTATTGCATTTTTCTTCTACAGCAGTGGGGGGCCAACCTTTTTGTCAGGTGTGCCAAATTAGCCCCGCACCCTCCCCAAGTGCAAATCCCCTTCTCCTGCCCTGTCTGCTGCTCTGGTTCCTGCTTGCAGCCCTGTTCTCCCTGCTCTGTCTGCTGCTCTGCCTTCTGCTTCTTTCCCTACCTGTTACTGTGCTGCCTCCCCCCTCACTCATCCGCCATGTGCCACACACAGAAACTTCCCACACCACTTGTGGCACCTGGGCCACAGGTTGGCCATCCCTGTTCCTGAGTGTGCACCCACCCCAGACAGTCACTATTTCAAGGAGAAGCCCTTTCTTTTAAAAATTCTACCTTCCCTATGTGTGCCTGGGCCCTGGTCTTTGTAAATGGTCCAATTATCTTCTCCTTCAGATGGTGTTTTATCCACTCAGTCAGCCAGTCATTCAAGGAAAACGCCCTGTAATAGTTATTTCATCACATAGCAGTTCAGCTCATCCTGCCTTAAAGATTTGAAATCTCACACTCTTACAATTGTGGGGGAAAACACTGAAATTGCTTGCTGCTGTGCACACTTAAACCTACTCTCTGCTGATTCTAAGCAGGGATTTAAACAAAGTTCTCCAACCTTGAATATCCTGTGCACCATACTACAAAGATCCCTTTCCTCACAACATACTTTCACTTTAAATTACTTCATTACCATGCCAGAAAGAGAGACTCAGTCTTCCATCAGGTGCTTAGGATGGTCACCTGAGAGGCAAGATACCCGGGGTCCAGTCTCTACTAGTGAGCATTTACACTCTTAGAAAGAGTTTATCTGTGCAATTAGGGCATACTTTTGGCAGGAGTGGAAGTGCTCTAAATCTCATGAGTACTGAAAATCGATCCCCAGCACCAACCCTTCAAAAAAGAATGCAACCCTGAATTTTTTTCCCCAAACAATTAATTAAACTGAATTCACTAGCTTGGAGGCAACCTGAAATAAGATTTTTCAGCAATTTTACCATTTGCTTAAAAAAAACCTTCCATTTCCACTAAACAGGATGCCAAGACAGAACCCTTTCATAGATAAGATTATCCTCTACTGTGGTGCAGTGTGGAGGGGTGCCCTTCAGTGCAAGAGACTGCTGCATTTCCACCACCTGGGTGTCATCCAGGAGTCTCCCATGTTGCTGAAGGACAGCTGAAGTGGACAGGGCTATAAGATATGGAACAGAAGTGGCAATGCATACTAAAACATCCCTTCTACATCTCACCATTATTTGTAGTACTGACTAGAACATCAGTAGCATCAGGTTCCAGTGAGTTAGTTGTTCTACAAAACTTTTGTAGCAAAAATGAGCCCTTGCCCCTAAAAAGTTCATAATCTGATGGTTCCTTTACCAAGCAATGCATTCCACTCCAAGGGCCGTTATTGCAACCTCACTCAGGCTACACAGCTATGACTCAGCCTCTTCCTTCATCCCTTTCATCCCTGATGGTAACTGTGGCCTGAGCTTTGCTCTTATTTTGTAGTGCGTACAGTTGCTTCCCACACTGCTTGAAGCATTGCAAAAAGGGACCCCAAGCGCCTTTTCTCTGTCCCCTTGATTACACTGGTTGTTATGGTACATGAGCATTTGGAGTGGTTATTTTTTTTAAGATTCTTCACTAAATGACTACGTATAAATGCAGGGAACTGGATTCAATGGCCTGAAAAACCCCTTCTAACCCTGTGTTCCTGTGCTCCCTACCACATGGAACTGAATGTTTTACTTATGTGAAAAGAAGAAATGCAGCTACTGTGGAGGATACTACAGCCTAAATGCCTTTCCCTACTAATAGCCTCTACATGCCATCTATTTATGGCACCATATAGCTGAGGGGGAACATGCTGCTGTGGACTTGGCAGGGCACTGTGGAAAATGAGGCTTTTTATATAAGATCTTGTAATAAATACCAGGTTTCATTTTTTAGCTTGCTATAGTCTTCCATTTAGAAGGGCTTTGTTCTCAAGTTTGTTTCACTTGAGCTCTTGAGAAAGAAACCAAATGCTACATAAGGTATAATAGTTATACATTTACTGCCTGGGGTGGATTTTTTGTCCATTCACTGTTTAGGGAGGAACAGATGTCTCACTTATGCCAAGACAGACAACCATACTGATCCGAAATGCTACATTTCAATCAGGCATACCACCTTGCTGCAGGGCAGGCCAAGTGAAAGGCATGAAGGAGATCTCATCCACTGACACAGTAATTTTTGATTCCTTCTGCTATAATATATTCACTGTTTATCAGTACATTTAAACACACATTTTTAGCAAAACAAGCCAATCAGATAAAACAATTTGCCAGTACTTTGCCGTAAGTCTGGCTTTCTAATGTTAACTGCTGCCTGAGTATCCTGGGGCACCAGCAGATGTTAGGTCTGATACAAGGTTGGGGTTTTTTTTACACTAATTCAATGTCCAAAAAATGCAGGTTTTATTGTGTAAAGTGCACAGCTTCACTACATTTAAGAAGTATGCCTGGATTCTAAAACCTACAAAAACATATAAGTTCCACCAATTCATTCTCTCCCTCTCTCAAGTCTTCAGGCTACTTCTATCTGGAAGTGCAATTTTGTCCTTGAATTTCACTGTCTTTAGCTAAAATGCTTGAAGAATTCCCTATGTTTCTTGCTCCCCAACATGATACAGCAAAGGACCTTTATATATCTATATGCATATCTATATCTATATATAGGTATATATATATATATCTGTACCTTTAGGACAGATAGTCTGTAAAATTTATTAATGCCCACATTGGCCAAGCATCATTTTTTTTTTGTGGGTGAAATTAACAGAGTACAGGCAGTCCTCAGACTTGCAACGCAATTGGTTCCTGAAAGCTGTCTCTTAAGTCGAAACATTGAAACTTAGAACCAATTTTCCCATAGGAACAATGTTATAAATGGGGGATTGGTCCTTTACCATGCTCAACACAGCTGCCTCCAGCTGCTAAGTCTGTTGTCGTGGGGTGGGGGGCAGATCAATGCCTTTGTGGAAAGGGAGGGATTGGGGCAGGGGCAAAGGGTGCCCAGCTGGGGCAGGGGGGCACAGGGAGTGGGTGGGCAGCTCTCACTGCTGCGGGCCACTGGTCTGATAGCTGCTTGTCTGGCGGCTTGTCCAGCGGCTCTCGCCGCTGTTCCCGCCACCCATCCAGGAAGGCACCAGGGGAAAAGTGCTCCTAGACCTCCATGGAGTGGGTGGAGCCAGGGCTGTGCCAGGCTGAGCTCTGGATGGGCACTGGCAGGCACTGGGACTATGCCCTGCCACTGCTTGCTCAGCCGGGGCAGGGCAGAGCCACTGCATTGCCTATGGACAAGCGGCACACAGTGGCTGGAGCCGCCCTGGCCTCCCCGTGCCTCCTGGATGAGTTGCAGCTTTGCCCCTCCCTGCCCTGGCTGGGTGAGTGGCAATGGCAGGGCATGGGGTGGGAAGTGTGCCCCCAGTTCAGATGGGGTGGGCGGCGAAGCAGGAGCTATGTGGGGCTGCAGCCGCCCAAAAATTCACCATAGCCTCCCCGTAACCCCTGCTGCCTGCCCAGAGTGCAGCCCGGTAGAGCCCCAGCCCCACCTGCCCGACGCAGATCTGAGAGCATATTCCCTCCCATGCCCTGCTGCTGCTCATCCAGCCAGGATGGGGTGGGGTGGGGAGGGGCAGGGCGGGGCCAGGAGGTGCAGGGAGGCCGGGGCTGCTCTGACCACTGCACACCACTTGTCCAGGGGCAGTGAAGTGGCTCCTTCCTGCTCCACCTGGGCAACCAGCAGGAGGGCATAGCCCCCGCTCCCAGCACCTTCTGCCACTGGCCTGGAGTGCAGCTCAGTGCAGCCCCAGCCCCATCCGACCTGTGCAGATCTAGAGGCACATGCCCCCCCATGCCCTCCCACATGGGCAGTACACAGTGGTGGGAGCCACCCCACCCCTTCCTCACTCCCCCCTTCCACTGGGCAGTCCCTGTCCCAGTGCCAGCCCCAGCCTCAATCCCTCCCTCGCTGCAGGGGCATTGATCTGCACCACCACCCCATGCCCCACCACAACAGACTTACCAGCTGGAGGCAGCTGTGTCCAGTGTCACAAAGTCAAAACCCCATTGGAACCTCAAAACAGTGTCATAATTTACAAAGGTCGTAAGTGCTGATTGCCATAACTAGAACAGTAGTAAGCCAAGGACTGCCTTTATTACACCTACCTAGCCAGATTTTTCCACGGCATAACATGCCATAAATACTGAAAAACAAAAAGAGAAATCTTAGAACTTGCTCAGTCAAACTCATTCATTCCAGTATTCTCTGAATAATTAGATGGGTTAACATGCCATTTGCCAGCTGTAACCTCCCCCCTCCAAAAATCAAAACCCCTAAATTTCACCAGAAACCATGCAATGCACTTTAACTATACAGAGCAGAGCCAAACCAACAGTCCTCAGAACCACTTCTTAGCCTGACTCTTACAAGGGTGAAATTGCCGAAATGTGATCTAAAAAGCTGACTATCTAGATCACTCATCAGCAGGGATCCAGGTTTTCCATTTGCCATGGAAAAATGCAGATTTTCTCCTTTAAAGAAGAAATCCTGAAAAAGGCTGCAAAGGTAAAGTGTTGGGGGGGCAGCACAGATGATGCATCAGGTGGTGGAGGGACATGGGGGGGGGCATACCTCCCCAGATTTGTGTGCCCAAAGCAGGCATGGGGCTGCAAAGGGGGCAGAGGGACCTCTGATTTTCTATAATAAAAAAAACATAAATCAAACACCAAAATACATAGGAATTTAGAATTTATTTTATTATAATGACTGAGGCACTAGTAGGCTTCCAAATTGCTTTAAAATTTGTAAACATATCAATAAAACATTGTTTTCTACAGATACATACACACACACACACACACACACACACACACACACACACACACACACACTACAGATATACATACACAAATACATACATATATAAACACACATTAGGGCTGTGCAAAATTTCACCAGGGCTGGGGCTGGCAGGGAGCATTCTCTGACAGCTGCTGGAGAAGAAGCTCCTGCAGGGAAGGAAAGAAAGGCTCTAGTCTGTGACAGTTTAGCTGCCTGAGATGGTGCTAGTGCTGCTGTGCTGCTTACTAAGTTATTCCCTGTTGTTATGTAAAGTGTTAGACAGGACTGAGGCTGTAGGGGCAGAGGACACCTCATGGCGGTACACTATCGTGTCATGTAGAGGCCCCAGCACCAGTGAGGATGCACCTTAACACACAAAGTCACACATGCCATGAGTTTTGCTTGTCAGCAGCTTGAGGTGCAATTTCCCAGAAACCCCAGCACCTATCTTCTTGAAACTTGGCAGGCTTCATGGCCTCAGCAGGGGCTACCATGTCTGATGTTTTCACCCCCCTGTGCCTTCATACTTACAAGCAACATGAGTTTTGCTTTGAACAGTTTGAGGTGCAGTTTCCCAGAAACCCTGAACTTATCTCCTTGAACCTTGATGGCTTTATGGCCTCAGCAAGGGCTACCCTCCCTGATGTTTGTATTTGAATCAGGCAAGAAATGACAAAGTTATAGGCATTTTCATGATTCCCCATTATAGCCTATGGGCAAAACGTTGACATGCATCGAAACAGCAAAATGGAACATTGAAACGAAACACTGTCCCTTTGAAATGGCAA